GCGCCCATCCACCTGCCCTCTCAGGTGCTTCAGGACAGGACAGGCCCCTCTCGTCTCCCCAACCTGGCCCACCCTGGGGTGCCATTGATACCGACCTTTGGATGTCTCTGGGTGCGCCGGGCTAGGCAGCCATGCCACCCTCTCCTCCCGTCCTGCAGGCCCCTCCGTGTCCCCTGTGAGGACACCTTGTGCACCAATGTTTCTAGCGCCCCGCCTCCACGTTTGGAGTTGGAGTCTCGGGACAGGCGGGCTTGGCTTGGTTTGGTTTTTTAAGGGGGGCAGGGGGCAGCAGGCTTGGCTCCCCCATGGCCCTGACTGAGTCTGAGGCTGCCGGGGAAAGTCTGGCTGAAGGAGGATTGTGGAGCTCAGTGTGGTTTGGGCCTCGCAGCAGCCAGGGGAAACTTCCAGGCACGCTGCTCCTGGCTAGCCGGGGCTGTGTCCTCTGCCACTGCCTGAACTGGAGACCCCTTCACGGGGGACCAGCCGGCAGCAGCAAAATGCAGCAGTCACTGGCTGCCCAGCTCTGCCCCTTGGGGTCCAGCAGCCTGTTCAGGCCCTGTCCTGTGATCTGGGGTGCAGAGCCCCCAAAGCCCTGGCCGGCTTGCTCACGAGGGGCCAGTGGCCAGGCAGAGCCATCTGCAGGAGGTGCCGTCCAGGGGAAACCCCCACCCCAAGTGTTTCCTTCACCCCAGGACAAGGCCAGAGCCTCCTGTGGCCTCGGGGCCCGTGGCAGCCCCCCTCGGGGATCTGTGGGCAGCGGTTGAGTTTCACGGAGTGTGGTTTCCGAATCCGGCCCTTCCCCGCTCCCCCGATGGGGGTCGGCCCAAAGCGAGGCCGTGAGAAAGGAGTGCATCCTCTCGGCCAGCGGGGGCAGGTCCACTGAGTGCTGGGGGTGGAGGGCACGGGAGGGGGTAAGCCTGTGGACGTGTTGCGGGCGGTGGGCCCAGACACCTCTGCGCCTCTGTTGACACCATCTAAAGCCAAAAGCAGTTGGTGACCGTGGGACGCCCTGGCCCACAGCGGATGGCGCAGCCCTCTGCAGGAGCGAGGGGCAAGCGGGCAGCAGGGTCAGCCCTAGAAAGGCAGCCTGCTGACCAGCACCACCAGCGTGGCCCGTGGGGCCATCGCATGTCCATCGGGGTGCCCTGCACCAGACCATGGCCTTCCCGCACCCCCACAGGAGAACTCTGTCCAGTGAAGTGGACTGGTCACTCGCCGTGGCTGTACCGGGCCTCACTGTCCCCTGCCAGCCTGGGGACCCTCCAACGTGCGGGCAGGCCCAGGTGGAGCACTCATTCGGGGGTGCTGCTCCTCCCTGCTGAGATGGGTGCCTGTCTGGCAGGGCTGGGCCCCGACACCACAGTCTGACTGTCAGATGGCCAGGGCTGCGGGGCCTGCATCCTGTCCCTGCCCGCAGAGGCCAGCGGCAGCCCTCCAGAGCCAGCAGGCTCCCACATGGTGGCAGGGATCGTGCCCACAGGCAGGGCCTGGGCAGAAAGACTTGGCACCTGCCATCATGTGGGCCATGCTCGGGGGCCCCAGGGTGACCGCGGGCTGGCTCCTCGGCCCGGGAGCCTGAGCGGCCGGCGCTGTGTGTCTTCCAGACGGTGTCCATCCTGGAGCAGCGCCTGACGCTGGCGGAGGACAGGCTGAAGCAGTGCCTGGAGAGCCAGCAGCTGATCTTGCAGAGGGGGACGCCGAGAGGGGTGGGGCTGGGGGCCAGTAAATAAAGGTGGTGCGGCTCTATGTGACTCACCCCCCCCAAGTGCACCTCCCCCCCACCCTGTGTGAGGGTTCAGGGCCCAGCTGCCAAGGCCACCATGCTGCGGGGAGGGAGCCCGAGGGCCCAGCCCGCCTCCCTGTGTCTCAGCCATTCCCACCCTGCAGCCGTTTCTGTGAACCTGAGGAGGAGACCCATCTGAGCCGGGTGTGTCCAGGGGCCAGCCCCGGGCAGGGGGCAAGCGGGGGACGGGGTGGGGACAGTGCTTTGCAGCAGCCTCTCTGGGAGCACCTCCTCCCAAGCAGACTGCAGAAACAGCTCGTTCTGGGGGAGACCTGCCCCCGGCCCCTGCAGGGTCGCCTCTGAGCAGCCAGGTACTGGGGGAGCCCTACACTCCACCGGCCTCCCACTGAGACCCCCGTTTCCAACCACTTGCTCATAAGGGCTTCCCTGGGCAACTTTTTTCTGCGTCCTCGCTGGGCAAGGCCAGGTGAAGAGGAGTGTGTGTCTGGGGTTCTCTGGGCCTGCAGCCTTCAGTGCTCCGGGCCCCTGCCCCAGCCTGGCATGGGGTGGGGGAGGAGGTGGGGGGTGGCCAGCGGAGTAAGAGCCGTAAGGCCCTCCCAGGAGCTGTCGGCACCATGGCACCACGTGGTTAATGGCTTTCCCAGGTGGAAGCAGAGCCTGGCCTGACCCAGGGCCTCTGAGCCTGATGACAAGCACCCTGCCCCGGGCTGGGCAGCAGGCTGTGGGTCACAGTGACCAGAGCCGAGTCCTGGTCTGCCCTCTTGGCAGCTGTCTGTCTGAGACGTGGCCACACAACTTCTCTGAGCCCTGGGGGATCCTTGTGTGACAGGGCGACCACCTGTTTCAGGGGGCTGCGAGCACTGCTCAGAGGGAGCCTGTCGCTCCCCACCCCCACCAGCCCTATCAGGACCCTGGGACTCGCTGCCCAAGACACACTGTCAACAGAGGATGGAAGAAGGGGCGGGTCTGCAGCTCAGAACGCCTTAGAGGTCCCCAGCCACCAACTTCCTCTACTGGTGCCCCTGCACGCTCTCACATCTGGGCACACGGCCTGCCAGCCCCTCCTGGGCTGGGTTCTCTGCCACATGGCTGGCCAGCTCCTCTGCACGGGCCTGAGGTGCTTCCAGAGTTGGGGGACCTCGGGGCAAGGTCTGGGCAGAGACGGGTCCGCAGGACCCAGGGGGTCTCTGGGCGGTGCTGCGGCCGGCCACCCCTGCCCCCCGGGCAGACCCGGCATGTTGCAGCCCTCAGGTCCCCACCAGGCATCTGCGGGGTCGGTGGTGGGGTGTGGGCGGCCCCTCCCCAGGCCAGGTGCCTCTGCCGCTCAGACACCTGCCTGGACGGCAGCCAGGCCTGGAACGACAGGGAGACAGAGCTGCCTTTTCTAGAGAAGCCCCCGGGAGGGGTCATTCTGAGCCGTGCCCTTCCAAATCAGACCTCGGTCGTGTGGATCCTGACCCCACACGGGACAGCCCAGTGCCCGGAGTGACGCCGGGGAGGGAGGCAGGGAGCCAGCGGGGTCAGCCTGGGAGCCTGGGCCCTGGACTGCCAGTCTAGACTCAGCCCCTCCCCGCACTCTGAAGACACAGCAGGACCCTGGCAGCAGGAGTGGGGGGGAGCACCCACGCATGCATGGCAGGGCCTTCCTAAGGGCGTCAGTTGCCCTGAGGGTGACAGCCTGCAGCCCTGTGGTCTGGGGGACCTCATCTGGACCTGGGCAAGCAGGCTAGTCTGTCAGAAGATGTGTCAAGGCCCTACTTCCTCAGCCTGAAGATGCTTCCAGCTACACTCCATGCATTCCCTGGGTTTCCAGAATGAAGCCAAGTGTCCAGGAGCAGAGGGGACCGGCCAGGTGGGCTGGGTGCCTGCCCAGGACGAAGCAGCAGCTTCCATCTCTGACCCACAGTGAGCCTGACCAGCCCTCCCCAGGAGCCCCTGTGGGCGGTGTCCATAGGCCCCAAGGCCTGTGGGCCTCCTAGCACCCACTTCTCCTGAGGCCGGGGCACAGGATGGCCCCAGGCCTGGCTCTCTGTGCCACCCCTTGCCAGCACAAGCTTCACGACCCCCCAGTGGGAAGGGCACATTCTGGGAGCAGGGGGTCGGGCTCAGATTTCACTGTCCCCTCTGCCCCCCCCCTCCCCCAGCTCATGGCCCCGCTTAGTTCCCCGACCTGGGTGCTGGCTTCTTAGCAGGCGAGCCAGCAGAGGCTCTGGGAAGCCACTCTCCACCTGAGGAGGGCAGGCTCTCAGAGAGAGGAGGGGGTCACACTGGCCGTGCCTCCCCCGTGCTCTGCCATCTTTACTTGCAGCCCTTTCATGGACACGTGATACATATCACACAGCCAGTCGTCACTACACTCAGCTGCAGCACACACCCCTTCCCCATAGTTAGATCGCCTTTACAATGAGTTGTGCAATCAAGCAGGTCTAGTGCTCCCTCCCACCTTCAGTTTTCATTCCTGAAATCCCCTTTCCCTCCCTATCACCCACCCCCGCCGCCCCCACCCCCTATCAACCCCTGGATCGGTTATTGTCACCAGGCATCCACGCCTCCCGTGCATCCCCAAGGGAAACAAGAAAGGACGCAATCAAAATAAGGTGGTAAGGAAAAAATAATAATAGAAAGACCAAAATGCAAACAATAAGTAAGAAAAGACCCTCATCAACATTCCCAAAGCCAGGGAAGAACTTTCTGTCATGGAGCACTTGAGAGATACTTGCACCGAGAACCAACTCAGGTCGTGTCCACAGGGAGGTCCGCTGGTCAAGTGTGAGTTCGATCCAGCAGAGTCCAGGTGACAGTGGTCTCTGCCTGACGGTCAGGCTGTTGGACTCTTCCCTGGGGCTGGAGGGGATCTGCTAGTGGCTCAGTCCTACTAGATACTCTGCAGATGGGTTTTGGGCTCCCACTGCCCACCGTAGCCTTCTACAATTGGGTGTTCATTTTAGCTCTGATACTTTTCCCTCCAATATATCTGAATTTTGTCATTGTCATCTTTGGATCACACGAGCTGGCATGATTTTTCCATGTGGATTTAGTTGACTCCTCGCTTAGATGGCCGCTTGTTTGAGTACAAGCCTGTAACACCCAGACCCTGTTCCGGTGGATAACGAGGCACCATCTAATTTCTTCACCACGCTTTGCTGTAGCACCATCCTCTTCAGGGATCATTTTATGCAGGGGAGTATGGAGCAGGGCCATGTGATCAGAACTCACTGTTCTTGAATCGGGACTAGAGTGAAGCAGGAACCCAGACTCCATCTGCTTGTCCCCGGGGTTTGCCCATCCCAGGTGGACTTTGTCTCAGGTTGACGCTGGTGGTCATCATGAGACAAAATCACAACCCTATAATGTCAACTGCATCGATAGCAGCCATAAGCCAACCAGCAACCAAACGGAACACACACCCCCAAAAAGAAAACAACACAAAGCAAGCTGCAAACAGGAAGCTAACACCCCACCTAAACAAAGAAGTAGAGCATTGTCCATCACCCCCGGGGGTGAAGTGGGCTGTTCTGTTATCCTCATCCATTTTCCCAACAGCCCCGGACAGTGTCACGATGAGGAGTCTATGCGAGGGCAGTTCCACCTTGAGTCGCCACCCACGAGTGTTTGTCCCACAGTTCCATCTCCCGCTCGATTGGCCTCTGTTGACTCTGTGTGGGGACTGGTGGCAGTGCAGATCGCTGCTCAACGGTCCCAACCTGCCGTGTCCCTGCCGGTGGGCACTGAGATACTACAGATGTAGGGGATCCTGGGTCCCTTTCCACTGGACACCCACCCAGCTGGGAGGGTCTCCCCACCCCAAGGTCCAACGACCGCCACTTCCACATTCCTGGGGCGCCCGTTCTGCTTCCTCTCCCCTCACGTACCCCAGCCCTCAGTCCAAGGCCGCGGGCAGCTTCAAGGCAGGGCTCGGTTCTCAGCAGGGCCTCTATGGCAAGTCCTACTGCTGCAGCCCCTGCATGGTGCCCTGCTGTCTGCCCGATCCATGCCAGTCACCTCATCTCCCTCAAAATGGGCCCTGGTACTGCAGCCTGAACTGCTGGGTGGCCATTTAAGGAGGTCAGGAAGTGGCCCCTCCCCAGGCTGCTGCAGGGGGACCTGAGGTGGCTCAAGCAGCTTGGTGCCCAGTGGCAGCCCTGGGCCATCGGCTCCACCACGGGCCTCTCCCGCTGCCGGGACGCCACACTCCTCTCTGGCACCCACCCTGGCTTCGTGGGCTTCCCCTGCTTTGGGGGAAGGAAGAGTCTCTGTGGAGAATTCATCCGGACCCCCAGAGGGCCCAGGGCAGGGGCCCCAGGGCCACAGCCCCCAGAGAAAGCCCATGGCAAAGTCTTTGGGAAGCTTCCCCCAGCTCCCGTCCTGCGGGAGCACCAGTGTGGACACACCCTCCCAGGAGCCTGTTTATAGAGGGAGGCCAGGAGGGCTTCCTGTGGCAGGACCAGGGCCCATGCCCTGCCATCCTACCACCTGGGGGAGAGGGTCATGCCCTGTAGGTTCTGTTCTTGGCCCCAAGCCTCTGTTTCAGTACAGGTGTGTGTTCCTGAAGGTGGGCTTCCCTATCTCTCATGGGTCGCAGCGGGCACTTCCCTCCTCCTCCACCCCCGCCCTTCACCAGCCCCGGGTGTCCCTCAGCCCTGGGCCAACTGGACCCGGAACTGGCCATTCTCCTGGTCTCGGGGCTGGCCAGGGTGCAGTGTGCCCTGTGCTTCCCCAGCTCAGCAGGCTTCTTCCAGACCGTGGCCCGTCCCCACCCTCCTGATTGGGCCCTCGGAACTGTCCACTTCCCCAGAAGGCTCCTGTAGTGCCCCGCCTCATGCCAAGCCCCTCCACTCTGACCCCAGCCTGACGGAGTCCCCCACGGATGTGCCCTCCTCCTATCTCCCGGCCAGCTAGTCCTGGTCCACCTCCCCCTCAGCTGAGAGCCCCAGAAACCTCTGAAACTGTGTAATTCGCCTCCCCAAGTGTCTAAAGAGCCCTGGCGGTGGAGTGGCTTCCGCCTTGGACTGCGAATCCCAAGGTCAGCAGTTCAAACCCACCAGCCACTCCTGGGGGCCCTCTGCTCTCGTCAGGAATGAATGACAGTCAGGGGCGGTGCTGCCTGTCCTGCAGGGTCTCTGCAGGTCGGAATGGGCTCGGTGGCAGTAAGTTGAGCTTCTGACTATCTGTGAGGAGGCCCTGGGGGGCTGTGGGTTGAGTACTTGCTCAC